GTAAGTAAGTAAGTAAGTAAGGAAGCAAGCAAGTAAGTAAGTATGTATGTATGTATGTATGTATGCATGCACCCATGTATGCATGTTTGCTTGTGTGTTTCTCTGTTTGTCTGTGTGTTTGCTGCTTTGTTTGTTTGTTTGTTTGCTTGATTGTGTGTGTGTGTGTCTGTGTGTGTGTGTGTGTTTGCTTGTGTGTTTGCCTGTTTGTTTGTTTGTTAGCTGTTAGTACTCATGTATGTGTATACAAATGCACATACATACATACATACATACATACATACATACGTACATACGTATATATATATATATATGCATACATGCATACACGGACACATGCATGTAGCTTATATACATGCATACATGCATGCATGCATGCATGCATACATATGTGCCTGTGCACACATACACATACCCATGCAACATACATATACACATGCATACATCCATATACATACATACATGCATACACATAGGGGTACATGCATGTTGCACACATGCAAGCATGCATGCATGCATGCATGCATGCATACATACACACAAAATACCTACCTGCAGGCTTAATGCCTGCCTACCTACCTACATACATACAACAGACAAACAGACAGACCGACAGACAGACAAACCGACGGACGCACGGACAAACGGACGGGCGGACAGGCAAACTGACACATATGTGTGTATATACAAGCACATGCAGGTATAGTTGTGCATATTACACATGGATGCATGCAGGCACGCATGCATGTATGATAAATGTACTGGAAACTCTTCAGACGAGAGGCATGTTCGAGATACTAATGTCAGTTGAGAGCTTCGGGTCCCCCTTGTCTTGCCCTGTTACACCCTCCACCACACCCTTCTGAAACCCCATCTGGCCTCCTCTCGCCATTCAAGGTTGTACGAGCTAGGGGCTTAGAGTCTCTTGTGGATGCCCCTCTCGGCGTACACTGTTTGAGAACGACGCTCGGTTCGGGGTTCAGTGGTTCAGGGCGTCTTGAGTGCACCTGTCGCAACTCCACCTTAAATCCCGTCTGTGTAACACCAGCTCCAAGGACCTGCATCTGATCCAGAAGAGTGATGATGTTTTCCTCGGCTTTGACGGCTGCATCGCTTCGGGTTTTACATCAGAAAGGTTACATAGCATCCTGTGGGGCTTCCAGTCTCAGACTGAGCGAACATGAGGAAGGGGCCTTTTGGGTGTCGGGCTCGGGTGTCCTGGCCTGTATCATCTGACCTTTGTTCTTCGAATGGGTATGGGATAGCCTGATTTAAGATACAAGTTTTTAGAGTCTGAGGATGAGGCCTTGGTGTTCGGGGGTTTAGGGTGTGAGCTTCTGAAGGCAGTGATGTGGGGCCCAAGCCCAGGCACTCTTGCGTTCGAGCCTCGGGATGTTCCCACTACAGGTGCGCCCCTTCAAGCCCGCCCCCACATCTCCAGTTTGCTTCGCCTGGGGCCCCTGCCCACTTTTTCCGGGAGTTGCAAGAGGCCAATGCAAAGTCGTAGCTGTGCCTTGGTGCCATATCTTTACTCCAGGCAGCTTAGAGAGGGGCTCCATGTTGCTTTGCTGGGTGTATGGCCAATGTCGCAAGGATTTGCGGCTCTTGTACAGCATCCTTTCTTCCGTTGGAATGGAAGCACTATATACCGTCTACAATGTCGCCATGACCTTTGAAGGGAACAAGATCGGTAGGCTTTCGCTGCGACTGTGGTGACCGGTAGCATGTACTGTTGCAACCGGCAAGCAGGGTGCGTACAGGATGCCGTCAATGCAGACAGCATGCCTACGATGCCGAATCCGTTACTTTGGGATTAGAGATCCCTCCTACTACTGCTACTGCATACTACTACTACTACTACTACTACGTACTACTGCTCGTACTACTGCTCGTACTACTACTCGTACTACTACT